CCATTCGAAAACACACTTGAACCTCCTCTAACGGCCGTCTGTATAAAATGTACACTCACCTGTATATATGGCCGTCTGTATAAAATGTACAATCACCTGTACAAACGACCGTCTGTATAAAATGTGCAATAACCTGTACAAACGGCCGTCTGTACAAAATGTACACTCACCTGTACAAACGGCCGTCTGTATAAAATGTACACTCACCTGTACAAACGACCGTCTGTATAAAATGTACACTCACCTGTACAAACGACCGTCTGTATAAAATGTACACTCACCTGTACAAACGACCGTCTGTATAAAATGTACAAGCATCTGTACTAACAGCCGTCTGTATAAAATGTACACTCACCTGTACAAACGACCACTTCTTATTTCCCCACTTGCGTATTCTTTACGTTATAATGACACCGTGTAAGACGGCTGCAGGTCAAAGACGGCCTCTTCTCTCCCCGACAAAGGAGAGCGGCTGAGACAGTTTCAACTGTGCTTATAAACTTGACTGATAAATTAGGAATAATAATACGCTCCATACTTCTTTCCTTTTTGAGAAGAACTCAAAATGAAAGCGTCTTATCTGCAGCCTAGTCATTATAATCATGATAAAGCCAACTGCAATTGAACACAGAAGACTCAAAACCAAGTATCCGTTGAACTGTGCCTGCAGTCCCATTTTTTTCTTCTTCTTTGTCTTTGTAAGATATCCCTCGAACTACGGATCCCTCGAACTACCGAGGCCGGTCCTGACGAATCCGGTCCTGACGAATCCGGTCCCGACGAACCCGGGGCATGTGTGTTATACTGTAATTGTTTTCTTCCCATTTCTTTCATCCTCACTGCCCGCTATGAGCGCTTCCCCTCAGGGGGTTGATAAAATTCTCGTTTCTTTCTCTCTCACACACGCACCCTGCTTTTACGTTGCATTGAGGAATCGTGGAGAAATCAGACGCTCGTCAAAACAATGAACTCAAAGAAATCGGCATTTTTTATGGCCTTTGGGCAATTTAAAAGAAAGAAACACAGCGTATATGTGTGGGTTTTACTGAAAAATGTTGGTCAAAGGCAAAAAAATGTTTATTTGTAGTTTCTAAGGACTCTCAAGCTATGGAAGTCACCAAACTTTGGCGGCCATTTTCACCCTAACTTTACCCCTGAAACCGAGCGACCC